ACAAGGACTCATTGCAAAAGGATAAGAAATTTCTATGGGATTGGTAGCCCTTGAAAGTTTTATCACACATTCGGAATTGTAGATTCAGTTTTTCTCTGTAAGTGCATTCAATCGAAGGGTTGCTGCTAGATTTCAACAACATCAGTGTATGTATTCACTAGAAGACAAGGGAGGTTGGGTTGAAGACACACACAGCTATGGTTTTTAAAAGGACCATTGATTTTGAAGATACATTAACACACAAGGTTGTCTATAGTAGCCGTAATGGGCTTCATCATTCAAACAAGTATTAAGCGCAATGTTTTTTGCTTCATGCTTCTGCCGGTGACTCGGGTGTACTCGGTGCTTAGGCATGCAGTTTTCCCTTGGTTCATTTAAGATATGTCCAATTCCTTACAGAAAGCTTTGAATGAGAGAAGAAGAAACCCTTCTCTCTCTCTTTTTTTTTATTGGTGTATATTTCGTCTCAAGCATTCCGTTCTAGATCAATGGAATGTGATGTTCAGGCATACTGTTTTCTATTAGTTTGTCTCATGCACATTCGTTGAGAAAAGCTTTCAGTAAAAGAGGAAAAGAAAATTTTAATGTAATTTTAATAAGAAAAAAATAGAATGAGAGGACGTTTGGAATGTTAATTCCACTCACATATATAAGATTCGTCCATGTTATGGTACTGACATAGCACCCTCTGATTTAATGTATGGACGATGTACAGGAATCAATGTGCAGGAGATCCGGACTCCTTTGGGGTTTGAATTCCAACTGACCTAGCTAGTTGGTTTGGGTTCCGATTGGGCTAGGTTAGGTCAGGCTCCAGTTGAAAGCCCGATATTCAATATACTACTCAATTCATGGGGCGAACTTCAGGCTTGGGGTGATCATTCTTGGCAAGTTGGCCTAGCCTGGCCCAGCCCGCAAATTTCCAGGTCGGTCTCAGGAGGTTTTAATTTTGTGTTTAAGATTGGCCTGCCCCGGCCCACATGATGGGGCTTGGGCTCACCACTTTTAGGCCTGGTCTGATGTATATATATGTTTTGTTTATTTTTATGATATATTATATGCATAAATATAACAAACTGACACATAATTATTATATATATATAATATCGGTATACTTATACATAACATTATTTTATACATAATATAAAACACTGTACATATTAAATATTTGTATATCTAACGGCATATATAGGCCCAATGTGTGGGGGCCTATATATAAATGTTCAATGAATGACTCCGAATTCGGTTGAGTAGAGCTGCAAGTATTGTCTGCCTCACTATTATACCGGTTTTGGATTGGACCCCGTCTAGTCCAAAATCAATTTGAACAGATTGGATGGACCAACATGGTATATTGGATTGGACCTATCTGGTCCAAAATATTTATTAGATTAGATTGGACCTGATCTATCTGTAACAAATTTATATTGAATTGGGTTGGAAATATCCGGTCCATTGATATAAGATAAGAATACATTCTTCAATGGACTAGGTTTGGGTTGAAACCAATCTAAATCGAAATAAATTTGGCCGGTTCAGACATTGAATTGGATCAGTCCAAATTGGTCCAAAACATTCATTAGATTGGATTGGACCTGGTCCATTTATAATGGACTCACACTGGACTGGATAGGATTGGACCAAAGCCAATCCAATTGACATCCCTAGCTACATGGTAAGTGTATATATATATATATATATATAAACTTCCACACAATATTCCTGAAATTTTGGAAACTCAACTAGGAAAATAACTACAATACAATACAAGTTACAAGGTGATGCAGATTAAGAGAGTGAATGATTGGGGATAGGATCTGCTATTAATAGGGATGACAATTTCTATATATCCAATCTAATGGGTACGCACCCTAATATCTCCCTTCATCTCTTCCTAACAAATTTTATAGACAAGAGCGGGGATACCATTAGGCCCTGTTGAATTTTCAGTTCAGTTCATGAGGAATGACAACATGAACGGCATTCTCTTCTTTAGAGAAGAGCCACATCTRAATAATACTCAAATAATCATCATGATAGAGCCACATCTGAAAAAACCGAAAGGATCTATGTTTCTTATTAGGAGATGGGTCAGGTCTAGGATTATACTACGATGATCAGAACCTCAAGAAGGGACAGCATCCAAAACGGCTGAAGAAAACAGAGAGAGCTAGTCCAAGGAGGCAAGGGCTCTATCTAGGGAATTAACTCCGGTAGCAACTCCCTTGATGAAACCTCGGCCAAGGTAAAATGTTCTGCCTAGGCTGAATATTCTAAAGGCTCAAAATCCTTCAAGAAAGCTACAAAGGCTTTTGAGGAACTAGAAGAAAGCCTAGGAAAGGAAATGAGATCTGATCCAATTTGGTCGAATTCAGATCATTCTTGGTTGGATCTTTGGATCAGATTCTATTAGAAATCGGATTGGATTTGGGTCTTTTTTTTTTGAGTCGAGAAGATCTGATCCGATGTATTATATATATATATATATGTTATTTATTTATATTTTATTTTTATAAATTTCTTATATTACTTATTTTTTTATAATATATATATATATATATATATATATGAAAATAATTAAAAAATACTTGTATTTTTTGTTTTTTTATTTAAATTGATATATTTTATTTTTTTTTCTTTCAATAATTTATTATTTTTTTAAAGAGAACAAGTCGGATCAAATCAAATCCAAAAATCCGGTAGGATTCGAATTCAGATCAAATCCTATTAGATCGTATCGGATCTGGCATGAACATTGTTGGATTATAGTCGAATATACCCCGATTCAAATCTGATTTAATCTGTTTGCATCCCTAGCTGTGAGAGAGATTTTAGACATGACATGTTATCATGTGTGTACTTCTACCTTTAGTAAGAGTGCAAAAAAGTGAATGTGTTGATATGCATAAATGCAAGTTTGTTCAAGTGGAAGGATCCAAATCTGCTTCAATTTTGCACTCATCAATTGATGATGGTGATGGTTATAGAGACAAATCTCAAGGTTGGAACCAACCTATTTTGCATTCACCAACTTTCAACGCAAAAACAGTTGAAAAAAAAAATTAATATAATTTTCAATATAAAAAAACGTAATTTTACCAAAGACTTGCAAAATTGAAGCAGAGCACAAATACGGTTCTATTTTGCATTTGTGCTCTTACGAAATACACCTTTAGCCAAGAAAATAAGGAACTGAATGGGATAATATGTGATGTAGAGGAAACTTGATTATTCCCAAAGAGCTGAAGTTTCATTGCCCCAATAATATAGGTATACCACTTCGGTTATGTTGGGTATCATGGTGGATTTAAGCTTCGACATTTACAGATTTACCCTTGATCACAACATTGGAAATTGAAAAAATAAGGTTCGTAGAGGTAACAATATATACCAAATAAGACACTATATAAGTGATGGAACGAAGGAGGAATAATCAAAAGGTGCTTTCTCTTAAAATGACTTGTATATGAGCTAGTCATATACATTGCGTCGGCCCGATATCTGCTCTGTCATCACGGGATATCTGTGTCCCAAAGTCCGAAAGTCATATACATGGGACATAATGTTTGTTTATGAAGTTAATGTTGATGCTGCCTTTAATAAAAAAAACGCACATACTGCTACAGGATGTGTTATTCTTTTGCCTTCATGCAAGTGTCAAACTCTTCTCTAACCAATAAATACAACAACATCTATACTGTTCAATTCTTTCTTCATGCTCAGAAGGAAATGAACGAGTTCAAGAACATCCCCCGATGATAATATCAGGAAGGATGATGTCATTATTAGGAAATGTTTTCAATACATAGCAGAGATGTGGTGTGAGACGTTGTGAGGTGCATACAGTTTTATTTTATTGGGGGTTGATTCTTTCTCGGAGTGAACAAACTTATCAAACATATGTTGTTTGTGGGTTGGGGTGAATTATATTGTCTATCAAGGAGAAAATAAATATATTTGTTAATTGTAAGGTGTCCTATATAAATAGAAAATAGTTGATGTGCTTATATATAGAGTGCAAGCTCCAAAAAAAGAAAATTTCTATTCTATCGATTTGATTATTACATACATATATTTGTGTGGCTCTTACAACCCCTGAATTTTATGAAAATGTCAACTTTAATTTTAAAGAATAAAAGAAAGGTCATTTTTGGCCCCAGATTTTGGTGAAAAGGCTAATTTTAAACAAAAATAAATGACATTAGAAATAATGTCAACGGATCTGTTAGACAACAAATAAAATAATAAAAACGTGATTATGCAACACTGCTAAAGTTTGAAAAGGTCACTTGAAAACGGGTCACTTTAGACCCTAAAAAGTAATTTTTATTAATCTTTAAAAAAATACTCCAAAGATTTTATCAAATTAGAGTCATTAAAAAAATACAAACAACCACCCTCCTACTTTCATTCTCTTGGATATAAGGCGGGACCATACCATTTTATTTCCTATTTTAATTTTCACAAACAATGAGATAAGGCCATGAAACCAAAAAAAAAAAAACAAACCAGAATTTACATTCCACCTTTTTGCACTTGCACTTGAATATATAAAGGCGGGGCCATCTTGTTTAGTGTCATTCATCCCTGTAGCACTTGAATACTTCTGGTCGTCACTTGGTATCGACGTTACAACTAATCAATATATTAGTATATATATTCTCTTTCATCCTCGAGTCGTGCGTTGTAGATTTGTGTGATAGGTTGCAGCCTTGCTGGAGTAGTATATGACCTTAAATTTCTGGTTTCTTCTGACTTAAACAACCTTAACGTATTTGTCTGACCACTTCTTTTACGGGTATTGGACTGTTGGTTTAGAAAGGGACTCCCATCTACTCTTATCTCCCGAATAAGCGGTCTGCTCTATATATAAATTAACGAACTCAGACGCTTACTATCACAAGCAGCAAGCTAGCTAGGGTTGTTTAATTTTAGTTCTTGGATTCCCGCCCTATTGCTATAATTCGAGAGAGAACCCTTTAAGTTCATTGTTGGGTACCATGGCTTTCTCTATTGTGGTGTCAGCAGAGGGGATGGTGCAGCCATGTGAACAGACCCCATCAGACATGCTTCATCTCTCCGTAATTGATACATTGCCAAGCTTACAGTTCAACGTTGGAACCGTGCATGTGTTTAGGCATGGTCCTCCTGATGAAGAAGCTGCAAAGGTCATAAAGGAAGCCCTGGCAAAGGCCCTGGTTCCCTACTATCCTCTGGCGGGGAGGATCAAGGAATCAACCCAAGGCGGCCAGGCCCAGGTCCAAGTTGCTTGTACCGGAGAAGGCGTTTGGTTTGTGCAGGCGTCTGCCCATTGTACCCTATTGGATGTCAATTATGTCGATGGTGATGGTGAACCCTTGATCCCCCACCAGGACTTCCTTCCACATTATCCTCCTATAACTCTTGGCTTCGACCCCGTTGTCCTAATCAAGGTAAAATTTTGATTTATTTACAACTGATCAACTACTTATCAATGTGCATGTAAATCCAGAATTGACATCTTCTCTCAACAAAACTAATATATCTATCTATGTTCCCACCTTCTACCAATACATACTCACCATAAAAGTGGGACCCACTATGCATGAAACGTGAGGTGTGGAGGGTACATTAGAACTTGTCTTGTTGGTAGATGATATGAACTCGTAAATCGATCACCTTCATTCTCATTCTCACTTTTAGACTATGCTTGATTTGAAGGAAAATGCAGAGAAAGGTAGAGAAATCTTAACAAACCTTGTATAAATTTATTTCCTTGTCTTTTCCTTCCATTCCCTACCTTTTCCTTCAAACCAAACATAACCTTAGTTTTCAGTTTTTCCGTTGATTCATCCACACTCACTCATCTCTCTCCTTCAATCTCCTCCTCACTGTCTTCATTTTTCATTCATTCATTCTTCTTTTTCAAGTTTAAATTGTAGACTTGATCCGGACTCGGTTTTTTCCCTCGGAAGTTTCATTAAAATAAGTGGCTAGTGCAGTGTTCAACGTGGTTAATTCTGTCGATGAACCATGGCAAAGTTTGTTCGTTTAGCGGTGTTGCTTTTTCTAGAACTAGCTGTAGCACACAACATCTCGTACCAGTCCAGCCACACCAAATATGTCCTCAAACGAACCACACCCCTCCTCTATTTTAATTTTAATTTTTTACACCGCTGTTATTTGTGCTACTTGTGTTATTTGATTTATTTTTTTATTAAATGTACTGAAATGATCATTTTTATAAATATTAATAATTATCATTATTTTTATATACTATATATATATTAGATTTACTTAAATGATTTTCATTACCTTTAATAGTTTTTAATAATTATTTTTGTTATATTTACTATATTTTTTTATTATGTTTAACTATTTTATATAGTGTTTTTAACTTGTCATTGACATCTGATCTGATTATCTCATATTTGGATGTTGCATTTACGTAATCGGACCGGCTTCGGATTTTACAATTTACATCCAATTAATAATTAGATTGTATTTGAGTTTGACTCCATCTGATCTAATTAAAATTTGAATAAATTATATTATAATATTTATTGATTTTAATATATAAAGTTTATATAATTATATTTAAAATTGTAAAAAATATATTTTCATATATTATATTGTATATGAATTTATATATAATAAAATTTAGTGTGTTATATATACATTAATTTATTGTATATAAAAGTTGAAAACTAATTAACTTTTTTATTTTCTTGTATTTTAAAAAATTAAAGCAGAGTCGAATTAAATCCAAATATGATCCAAGGCGATTAGGATTTGGATTTGAATCTAAGATCTTCAAATCCGACCGGATTTTGATTCATATTCAGATGCAAGTTTTCAATAAGCAGATTGGATTTGGATTTTGCAGAATCCAATCCATTTATAGCCCTAATTTGAATCGTCACCTAACCATGATTTTGTGTCTATAGTTCTAGTGAACCTGGGAATTCGTAAAAAATTGTTGACTTGATAAAAAATCGTTTAGCATGGGCAGTTGGACCGTTGACCAATTCAACCCAATTATAAGGTCACAGGTTGCACATTAAATGTGTATACAAACTTCTAGAGGCCATAACTTTGTGCTTTGATGTCCGATTGAGGTGATCCATGATCTAGAGGCAAAAATGGTTCAGGTTCTTGTTCGGTTTTTAAACATTGATTATTTGATGCTTTAATATAGTTTATTTTGATTAATTGTAAAACATGACTCATATAACCATGGTTTTCAAAACCGGACCGGATCGGACAATTGGTTTAGAAAAATCGGGAACCGGTCACAACTTTGTGCTTTGTTGTTCGATTGAGGTGATCAATGACCTAGAGGCAAAAATGGTTCAGGTTCTTGTTCGGTTTTTAAACATTGATTTTATGATGCTTTATTAAAGTTTATTTTGATTAATTGTAAAACATGACTCATATAACCATGGTTTTCAAAATTGGACTGGACCGGACAATCGGTCCAGAAAAACCGGGAATCAATTCTGTTTTACCTTAGAACCGTTATTTCCCCAAAAACCATTGATTTGGTCAGCAAACCACTGACCCAGACRGTCAAATCATTCAAACTGTTTAACGATTTGACCGGTTTTTATTTTTTTRTCAGAATGGGCCATCCGTTTGATTCAAACAATCGGACCATTTGACCTGGGAACCTGACCCCTGACCGGTGCGTTGTCTGATTCGGTTTTGAAAACCTTGCATTATAACATATACATCGAAAATATATGTGTTAATGCACAGTCAACGGTATTGGTGAAACGGGACTTGAATCAGTATCTCTGCTGGAACAAACCAGCTAGCGTCAATTGGCTTATTAGTATCAATTTAAGCTACATCTTAAAGAACATATAATGTGTGTTTTAGAACCAAACACATGATGCTGATGTGTGGTGTGTTATAATTAAGATGAGCCAATTAACCTTTTCGAACCATATATAATTAACAGAGCAATCACTTAGAATAACAATAAGCATGTTCGGTCGCTTTTGTAGTTCGTCGGACTCAATAACAGCATCTATCCTGCGTAAAGGTACATAAAAAACCATGCATCTATCATGCTAACAAATTAATATCCGGATTTTCATTTTCAGGTGACTCAGTTTAAATGCAACGGGTTTATTGTCGGGCTTATAACCCATCACTGCGTTGCTGATGGCCTTGGAGCTGCACAGTTCCTGAATGCAGTGGGCGAATTGGCTAGAGGCATGCAGCAACCTAGCATCGCTCCACTGTGGTGTAGAGAAGCTATTCCAACTCCACCCCGACTTGCGTACTCCGCTGGAGACCGAAAACTACCAAAACTGCCAGCGTTTGAACTAGAGACTGGCTGCGTAGACATTTCTCTAGACCGAATCAATCAGATAAAGCAACAACACCTACAGCTGACGGGCCGAACATGCTCCACTTTTGAAATCGTTGTAGCCAGTTTGTGGATTTGCAGAACCCGGGCAATAAACTTCGTCGTAGACACGGAAGTGAAGCTCATGTTCTTCGCCAATGGCCGGCGGCTCTTGAATCCACCGTTGCCGGAAGGTTTCTATGGAAACTGTGTGTACCCGTTGGCCATTAAGGCTTCTAGTGGGGCTATCTCACGGGCATCGCTTTCTGAGGTGGTGACGCTGCTGCAAAAGGCTAAGAAGAGGTCGCGAAAGGATTTCAGCCAGTGGATAGACAGTGGATTGCCGGACCCATTTGCTCCATACATCTATTCCAATTTATTTATATCGGAGTGGAACCGACTGGGGTTCAACCAGGTGGACTATGGGTGGGGCCCTCCTCTTCGTATGATCCCCACTCAGGGCCCCAAGTTCCCTGTGGCACTCATATTAGCCCTACCTAAGCCAAACACCGGTATCCGTCTTATCACGTGGAGCCTGGAGGGGACCCACCTGCCATACTTCATGGATGAGATGATGAAAATTTATCATCCTTTCTGAARMGATCAAGCCTCAGCTAGACTTGTTCTTTCATAGTTGAAATGCTGTCAGCTCTCATAAGCATTTTACCACTTTCATAAATAGTAGGAGCCAAGAGCCATGCATGTTAGGCTTTGTGACAGCTTCCTTAAGTTTTAGTTTGTGGATTTTATTTTATATATGCATATGATTGTGTATGTGATTATACATGTATATGTGTGTGCCTAGGCTAGGTTAGGTGAGAAAGCTTAAGGACCAAGCAATTTGTGGAATTTACTTCAACCCAAATACCAAATGAATAAAAGTTGTTTTTTCTTTTTTTTTTCTGTTTTTAAGCAACTTTTTAGTTTTTACTTTTGATGCGGAAGGGACTTTTCTTTATGGGCATTTTCAGAACTTTTGGAGCAACGAGCAGGGGTGGTTAAAACTTAAAAGCAATTAAGGAAACTTGACCAAGGCAACAAGTTGCTGAGTCGAGTAGATTGATGACTCGCCCTAATTCACATCACACGTGAGTGGGTTTACTCTAAAAAAAAAGGGTAAAATACAAAAACCTCTACTGAACTTTCGGACAATTATAAAAACCTTTTTTATAGTTTTATTTTAGCAAAATCCTCTCCGTTATCTTTAAAAAATTTGACAAAAACCTCTCTTCCGTCAATGATCTTCATAGAAAACGTTAAACGGATGATCAAATCTTTTCAAATACCTATTTTATCCTTTTACAAATTAAATCCCTAGATCTAAATTAATCTTGATCAGTGGTGAAGTTCCTGTGCTACAGCTCGGCCTTCCTGAAACTCTCTCTCTCTCCACTGAGGAACCCAATGGTGATAGCTCGAAGAAAGACAAAGAATAGAAATCAAGAAACAAAAAGGGAAAAAGCGAATATTAGATGGTTTACTGTTCATTATCTTCAACGAATGAAGAAGACTTGAACCGAGGACATCGCCCCGCCCCGCCGTATCAGACCTGAATAGAGAACGCCGCCAAAGATGACATAGYCTCCGTCCCCTTCCACTTTGTTCTCTTTCTTCCTCCCCCCTCGTCTTCTATTTTCTTTTTATTCGAATCCTCCCCTGTCGTCTACAACTATTATCGATCGAACACCTCTGAGTAGGGGGTTCAATTTCAGTGTCTGCTTTCTTTCCTTTCCCTATCTCTTCTGCTTCCCCATTTCCGCAAAGAAGACAATTGTATCATACATGTAAAACCTCCATCAACCCAGAACTCGGTTGTCAACCCCATCATTGAGTTTTGGTATAGCGAAATGGCATGTTGCAAAATCATTAAACCGCAACTGCAATGGTTTAATTAAATTGAATGGGATACATGAACGGGGGAATTGGTAGTCAATCTCAGTAGGATCAATAAGTTGGAGCGGAGGAATGGTTGTAGTGGTGGAAACTAAAGAAGAAGAGAGAGATGGAAGAAAGTCGCTACTCGCTTCAGGCAGGATGTTGAAGACATGAATAAACCACCTAATTGCTGTTAAATCTAGGGGGTAATTTGAAATAGGCCTTAAATCTATTACAAGTTTTTAAAATAAAAGTGGCAAGATTAGATTTTAGAAATGGAATGATAGAATGAGAGCTTAAAAATGGAATGGCTCTCAGGGACTGAACTCCTTGCGTTTTCAAAGAATGAACACAGAGAATAAGATTCAAAATGGAAATATGAGAACGCTCGCTGGTCAATGATATTCTCCTATGAAGAACAATCACCGGAAAACGAAAGGAATATTTTGAGAAGTGTAATATTCCGAGCAATAGTTCCGTTGCAACAGTTGGGTTTGTGTTCTTCCGTTCCTGTTCTTAATTGAACCTAAGAAATTATGGAAATAGACCATTCCGAATCCAATTCAGGCAGATTTTCATTCACAAACGGCTATTCCCTTAAGTAGGGGAATACTATTCCACTAGAAATAAGGATAGGATTCTGATTCCACTCAACCAAATAGTTGGAATCAGATTGTTAGTCTGTTTAACGTCAAGTTATTGATATGATGGGTTTTAGACATTTTCGATAAGTTATGATGAGTTTAAGAGAAATACCGAAAAATATGGTTTTCAAAACTGGACCAGACCGGACGGTCGGACCAGAAAAAGTGGTAACCGGTCAGTCCCCCGGGTCTGGTTATACTAAAAACCGGAAATTTGTAAAAAAACATTGAAAAAGTCAAAAAACCGCTGATCCGGGCGGTTGTACCGCTAAACCGTTTGACCCTGGCAGCGGTCCGTGGGTTATCCTTTTTTATTTTCATTAAGAAATTATGGAAATAGACCATTCCAAATCCAATTCAGGCAGATTTTCATTCACAGGGGAGGGTGAGAGAACGGCTATTCCCTTAAGTAGGGGAATACTATTCCACTAGAAATAAGGATAGGATTCTGATTCCACTCAACCAAATAGTTGGAATCAGATTGTTAGTCTGTTTAACGTCAAGTTATTGACATGATGGGTTTTAGACATTTTCGATAAGTTATGATGAGTTTAAGAGAAATACCGAAAAACATGGTTTTCAAAACTGGACCAGACCGGACTGTCGGACCAGAAAAAGTGGTAACTGGTCAGTCCCCCGGGTCTGGTTATACTAAAAACCGGAAATTTGTAAAWAAACATTGAAAAAGTCAAAAAACCGCTGATCCGGGCGGTTGTACCGCTAAACCGTTTGACCCTGACAGCGGTCCGTGGGTTATCCTTTTTTATTTTCATAGTTTTAATTAAAAAAACAAAAAATAAAATGACTTGAATCCCCAAATCAAAATCGAATGCTTAAGGCCCTTTAGGGTTAGAACGAAAATGGGGTTCTAACCCTCCCCTCCTCTCAACCCTCACAACCAACCAACCACTTGCAATGGCTAGTACCTCCGGCGTCGGATGGCGACACACAGCGACCAACAGCGATTAACGACTACCGATGATGACGGTGAGTTTGTAGCACATCCAGAGTTCCAGGCTCCAACAGTAAGAGTTGCGGCAGGCGAGCTTGCAGCGACGAACGACTTGCAGCGGTAGACGACAAGTTTGTAGCGGACAAACATCTCTCACAAGTCACAACCCAAACTTGCTAGTTTGCAGCTAGTTTGTCTTTTTTTTTCTTTTGGAAAAACACCAAGCCAAGCTGGGTGAGTTCCGGTTTAAGTGCCTTGCTAAGAAAAAAGATGATGAAGAATTAGTTAGTGAGTTCGTCTTCTTTCTCTTTTCTTCTTTAGCTTGCTCTGGTTTGTCTCTTTAGGCTACTTGTCTTGCTGCGCAACTTTGCTCTCAATAACTCAAATTCCTCCTCAAAGGGGTCTTTCATTTCACGAATGAAGAATCTTCAGCCAAACATCTCTCACAACCAAAAATCATGTTTTTTTGCACCGATTTTTACATATAGATATAAGGGTTTATTTATAGATATTAAGGGTTTATTTCAAGCTATTTTGTTTAGAATTTTTTTCATATTTTATGTTTATATTTTCTATGTATTTTATACTGTATTATTTTTTATTTAGATAGTTTTATTTTCTGTATTTTTTCTGATTTCTATTTAATTTTATGTTATTTTTATTATTTATAAATATATTTTTTATTTTTATTTTATTTATGATGTCATGTGTCGAACCGTTCAACCCAAACGGTTGAATCGATTAACTGGAAACCGGTCCCTTGACCGATTCTGTTTCCGATTTGTTTTTAAAAACCATGCCAAAAAGTAATTGTGAGTTTTAGACAATTACCCTAACGTTTAATATCAACAGCGCTATGCGCCTTCCAAAAAAAAGATTAATTGATCTATGCAGTAAGTTTGCATGCTTTGTGTAGTCTTTTACTTTTAAATTAAAGAAGAAAAAGCTCCTTCCAACAGTGGAAAGCAAAGCCACATCACCCATAACTGTGTATTTTTGCTATAAATTTTCAATAACTATTGGAAATTAAACTATTGTTATTTATTAGAGATAAGATTATTAATTTATTTGAAATTATGAGTGTTCATGAGTTGGTTTGGAGCGGTCGTAGGCTATTTGGTCGACCAAATTGACCTGGTCAAGTTAGGGAATTGGTTAGTTGAAACTGACTAACCTTTTGTGAAAACCAACCCACTCAAGTTGTATTGGTTTGGGTCGATTTTTTGGTTTGGCCAGTCTGTTCAAAAGATTTAAACTTAAAAATTTAATTTAATTTTAAAAATTACAATGTGATTATTAAATAATAAATTTAAAAATTAGATTTATGACATAAAATATTTTACACTAAGAAATATGAGAAAATTCCCACTTTTTTATATTTAAAATATAAAATATTAATATATATATCCATTGTTAAGTCGTTCGATTTTGGTCGGTCTACAAATGGCTAAAGTGAAATTGATCCAACTTGGTCGAATTGGGAAATTTTTTAACCAAAATCAACATAAAATACTAGACAATCAACCAACTCGGGTCGAGCTAATTGGGTTGGTTGGTTTCATCAGTTTGATAAATAAACCTAACTGAAATTAATTATTGTTATTTTTGTATTATAAAAATTTTATTAAAAGTAGAATATAAAATATGAATAATTATTAATTATTTAAAATTTTCAAAATATAAAACAATTGTATACTCTATGTGTTTCTATTATGGTCATTTATTAGAACACACTTTTAGGGATGGCAATTTTCCCCATCCCCGACGGGGACTTGACTTCCCCGACCCAATAGGGCTGGGGATGAGGATTGTTTTGGTGGGGCGAGGGCCGGGACGAGGATTAATAGGAATCCCCAATCGAGGTCGGGGTCGGGGATGGGGATTGAGGTCCCTGCCCCACCCCGACCTCGATTTATTTATATATATATATTAAATGTTATTTGTATTAAATATACTATTATATTATTTATATTATATATCTATAAAATATATTTAAAACTATTTATAATTCGAAGTTTTTATTTATTTAAAAAATACTATTATCTGAAAACATTTTGGTGATTCGGGTCCCCATGGGGAACCCATCCCCGTTAGGGATTGGGGATGGGGGTTAATTTTAGAATCAAGGTCGAGGCCTTAGGCCAATGATTTCATTAAGGAGTGTTTGTTTTGCCCTTAGGCCCATGATTTTTTATTCCAAAAATACCCCTAAGACTTTTTTGTATAAAAAACA